AGAGTGAAATAAGGTTCAGCCCCTCTCAAGGAGATTAGTTCCAGAGTTCATGCTGTGTGTCAAAGTGAGCCCAGCTATATCTAGTCGATATCTCTCAACCTCATGCACAAGCTCAGCTCCTTCCCCACCAGAGAGATCACATTCCATGCCACAAGAGCCAGCTTTGGTAAGCCAGGTCAGAGCACCAAGGTCCCCGCCTTTGACCACTGCCCATGGCACCATGCACCTAACTCAAATAGTCCCTCCTGCAGTTGGTGGGCCCACAGGAAGGCAAACCCATGTTGCTTATTCAGGCTGAGCCTGACCAGGCCCCATGGGTAAAGACCCGGTCACCAGGTGCTCACTGATGAGCTCCTCCCCCAGGCCTTCTCCATGGTGGGGCCCTGGTAACCCCCATCCGGGCAAGGGACACTGAGCTCCTTTTTTTCCCTTGTCCATATAAATCTTCTGAATCCACCACTGATTTATTTAATTTTAATATATAACTCAATTTAGTCTCAACATAATTAAACCATACCAAACACTTTTGGAGGTAAAACGTAAGAGGTCAAACATCTTCAGCTGCAGACTAGCAGTCCCGTCTTTGTTGTTTTTTTAACCTTTATTATGTGCTTTCAAGATTTTAACAAATCAGCTACAACTCTGACATTGTTCAACTAAGTATGATCTTTGTCTAAAACCCTCATATAAAAGGTGATAAGCTGTTTGCATTCCTTCAAGGAATGCTAAGCTGTTAATTGGTTTCTTTTTTACCATGAAAGTCTCTGAGCTGTTGGGTAGGGACAGTTGTAGGACTCTGGCAGCAGAGTGTTTGAGAACTGTGGGTGGTTGTAGGTGGTAAAGTGGAACTTTAGGTGTTAAACTGAGACGAGCAGTTTAGGAGGTTTGTCAAGTCCTTTAAATACCAAGAGCCAAGACTTAACAGCAGAAAACCATGATCAAATTGCTTGTGTGCAATGTAGTTATGTGGTGCTTGTAGAGTTATGTATAACTGCTCTGTTGTGTTGGTCTTGTTGTGTATGTGTCTCTACCTCGCAGGCACAGAATGGACGGGTCCAAAACATCGTATGTTAGCTGGTATCATCACAGACTACTTCTTCGGTTTTGGTTACATCTTACTGGCTGGAGTAGCATACCTCATCAGAGACTGGCGTAAGCTGCAGCTGGCCATATCAGCACCCAGCTTTCTCTTCATTGTCTACATTTGGTGAGTGAGCCGAACCTTAACCCAGTTTGTAAGGTAAAATCAGAAAAACACGTCACATTTCTCAGAAATATTTTTCACATTCTGAGGACAAACTTTGAGTGATTAGGTATAAAAGTGCCTTCTATTTCATATAGGCTTTGCCCTTTAAGGCTATCACTAGTGGGTTTATCCCTTTGTGTGCAGTGTAGATGAACATATGCATGATATATTCATAAATTAAACGGATTCTTTCATTTTTCTGGACTGGATAATATCGTGCATTGAATTATTAAAAACGTAACGTGAGACGTTAATTTTCTTTGACCCATCAAATGAATGCGTCATTTATTTACAGAATCAAAGTTTAACGTCACACATTTACATTAATTTGGCAAAATATGAAAATAACAACATGGCTAATTTTGCAAGCTGTACAATTTGATTAACCATACGGCGATGGTTGAAAAACTTCACAACAGACATTTCTGAAAAATATCTGGAATGATTTCTAGCAGATAGAAGAGTTTTAAAGATGGAAATGAAGTTTAGGGGGAGAGGAAAAGAAGGATGAGGGAAATGTGTGTCGGCATCAGAACGGCACTCTCCGGTGAGTTCCCAGCTTCTTCCCGGTACACTTAGGTGATATAAATCAACTCTTTTACCTGGAGATGTCGTCTACACTGGTACGGAGTTCCATTTAACGCACCCTTTCAGCGTCTCCGTAGGAACAGCTGTGAATCGTCCGAAGTAGCGACGGTATTCCGTCCGACACAGGTTCACCTCTCGGTGGACTCACAGGAGTGGAGTCCATCAGAGTTCCACTCAGAGGTGGAAGATGTCATAATCCCCAAGACTCGAAGAGCTCTGGATCATGCTGGACTTCTGTTTTCCCAGCACTGGAGCTGCAACGACTGAAGCCGGAGCCTGAAGCGACTGGTTTGAACTAGGAAGTATCGACATTTAAAGGGCTCTATTTCCGGTTCATTTGGGAGTTTCCTGATTGGTCGTTTCGACCAGACAGGGGTGTGTTTTTGTGAAGTAAGAGGTCACTAGGAGTCAGAAAAACAGCAAGAATGTTATGGAACAGATTGAAAATGTTTTTCAGACAGACGAGAGGAATATTTAGACGAGTTGGGGGAAAACAGGTGCCAGCCTCTATATTTACGTCTGAGAGGATTCTAAAAACATGACAGTTCGTTCCAACAACTTGTTTTGCGTTTGACTCCAACCTTGGACCAACTTACACTTGCTCATTCAAAGACAGAAAATCAGAAAATGCATAATTACTCTGTAACAGACCTTAACATGATTTATACTTTGCATGAGGATTAAAATCATTATTACTGTTTCACAGTTAATTAAAAATGATTAGTTCACTGCAACATCTAAAAATGGTTTGAACTAAAAACACTTTGATTATCAAACATTTGTAAAATAGTAATGATAATAGAAAAGAGAGTGTTCTTTCACTTGCTTAATTCAAGAAAGAAAGTCTCAGGATGGGTCAACCTGTATTTCTGGATTCAAATCAATGAAATGACAGTTTCTGTCCCATAAGGTCCTTAAGGTCAGGATTTGACCTCAGGCTTAGTTCAGTACAGCAGCGCAGCACTGAAAACTTTAGTCCGCACCCACCGGCTGTGTGGGCCCCACCCTCGGTCCGTATAAATTACAGAGACCGGACAATCGGCTCCCATTTTTTCTTCAGCCAGCAAGCACTGTCTAAAGAGAGAAGAAGAAAAAAAAATGTCCAGCACAAACATCAGCACCATCTGCCTGTGCCCGTCCTGCCAGACCGACTACATTATGAGTTATGACTGGCAAAACATCTGCGAAGGATGCCTGGGTCCCCGCCATGCTGACCTCGCCACCTCCTGCCATGCTTGTGAGCTCCTCTCTACCGAAGAGAAACAGAGATGAGCAGCCTTTTGTAAGGCTAATGCTGAGGAGGTTTTCCCCGTGTGGAACATTACTCATTGGACAACGCCATTGCTCTTTTTGACGCTGAGCCGCACAGTGAATTGGATGATTCCTTTGGCAAAGGTGATTCTAGCAGCAGCCCCGCTGCTTCTTCCCACCTGGAGAGTGTGATGGTGGTGTAATATGCTAAGGCTAGGTTAGCTTCAGCTTCGAGCTCCACTACAGTCAATTTTTAATAACGGGTTCTCACTTTTTCGAGCTACTTGACAGATATGTGACAGAGGTACTGTGTTGTCGATGGTTTAATCAGTGACATGAGATGTTAATTTTCTTTGACCCATCAAAATAAATGTGTCATTTATTAACAGAATCAAAATTTAACATCAACACATTGTACACTTGATTATTCTGATCGGCTCTGATTAATAAAACTTGGCACGTTTTACTTAATGAAAACAACAGACATTTCTGAAGATATCTGGATTAATTACTGGCAAGATAGAAGTTTAAAGATGGGAAATGAAGGAGTTTAAATGGAGAGAAAAGATGTGGAGGAAGAAAGTGTGTTGACTAGGAATGGCACCCTTCATCCGACCCCAACTCAGCCCTGGTACACTAGGTAGTGTTGTGGCTTTGTCCACAATCGTGTTCAAGACAGCTGAGACGGTCACCTTAGTTCAAAAGATTTATTTGACAAACAGGAGTTACAGATATTCAGAGACAAACATTAACATTTGTTAAATATATGCATATATTTGGAGCATTAAAAGAACGAACCCTCTCAGTCTGTGCTCTCCCAGAAATGCTCGCTGGGCGTGTGTTATTTCTGGCTTTTATCAAAGTTTGAGAAGGCTAGCTTTTCTGATTGGTTTAGACCCTAGGTTGCTATGGTTATGGGTCTATCCCGCCCCCTCAAGGCCCTTTCTTACTGCATTCCACAGATAAGTTTTATGGACGCTTGGTTTCTTTGTCTGCGTTTAGACTGTTAACACTCTGTTGTAGAGCATCTAATCATGAATTATTATTAAGAGAGAACCTGAGGGATTTCTAAATTAAAGAAATGTGTTCTAGCTTTTATTTATGTTAATCAGTGTGTGTGTGAGCGGCCAGGCCACCATGTGCTCAGTGAACAAAGAAGGACTCTTCCCTCCTGTGTAGTCAATATCTTACCTGATCCCTGGCTTGATTTGATTGCTTGTAATATATCAAATGTGAACTTGTAAAATTATCCTTAGCTAATGTGAGATTATATTTAAAGGTAAAATAGTTAGAATTAGTAAACATTTTCTATAAATATAGTTCAACCCTTGAAGAAAGACACGCACACACTTTGTATAAAATGACATTTGAATGCTTGATAGGAAATATAAGAAGGTATAAAAATATGAAATCCAACAGTAGTGAAGCGACTCGTTACCTTTGCAGAAGATAGGTCAGCTCCGGTACGGAGTTCCATTTCAATGCTACTTTTCAGCGTCTCCTTAGGATGGCTGAGAATCGTCCGAAGTACTGATGGTACTCCGTTCAACAACACGCTCACCTTCCGGGTGAACTCACAGCGAGCTGTGAGTCCGTCAGAGGTTCCACTCAGATGTTGAAGGCTCCATAATCCCAACTAGACTCGGAAGAACTCCCAGGAACTCCAGCCAAACTCCATCAGAACCAGAAGAAGTCACAGAACCAACCAACTCACTCCAGAACTCACTCTCTGGAACTAGGAAGTGTCGACTTTTAAAGAGTTCTGCTTCCGGTCACTTTTGGGAAGTCCTGATTGGTTGAAGGAACCAACAGGGGTGCGGTTTTAGTGATGTCAGAGGGTCATTACAAGTCAAGAAAACAGCGGAGATGTTTAAGAACAGACAGAGAAATATTTTGACGAAGAGAGAAAAACTACAGGTGTCAGTTCTCTTGTTACTGTCTGAGAGGTTTAAAAACATGACAGTACGTTCCAGTAACCTGTTTTGGACTGTCTCCGACTTTTGACTGACATCACTCCTCATTTCAGACAGAAGATCAAAAATGCATAATTACTTTGTAACATTTGTAGACATTTAACTTGATTTCTACTTTGAATGAGGATTAAAAATCATTAATACGGTTTCACAGTTGATTTAAAATGAGTGGTTCACTTCAACATTTAAAAATGGTATGAACTAAACACACTTTTGATTATCAAGACATTGTAAAATAGTAATGATAATATGAAAAATAGAGTGTTCTTTCAATTGATTAGTTCAGGATACAATTAGAAAGTCTCTGGATGAGCTAATTTGTATTTCTGGATTCAAATCAATGAAATAACAGTTCCTGTCCCATGAAGGTCTTCAGAGGCAGGTTTTGACCGGAGGCCTAGTTCACTACAATGGAAAAAGGTCGGCCAAGCGGATGCTCAGCCACCTCGGGTCTTCCTATCTCAGCGACCACTCCGCTACCAGCTGTCGGCACTCTCTTCCTGGAACTGCCAGGCATAATCCAGGAGGCCGGCAATTTAAAGGGACTCTCCGTCCCTCTCTCTCCCCCGCCCCAATCAGATGATCTGGCGGGAAGGTTTGGCTCTGCCCCAGCTTGCTGCCCTGACCCCATCTGGCCCCACTTTCCAGCTGTGACGTCATACTGGAATGAGGCTGCAGCTGGGCCCATCAATCTGAAGGCTCCCGTCTCCACCTTCACCTCCTTCACCAAGGTGGAGGGGTTTACCGAGCAGGGGTTTACCGAGCAGGGTTTTCCCTCGGTTCCCCCTCTGGAGCCAAGCCTTTTGGAAGCATTCAGGGCAAAGTCTTCCAGGATGGATCAGCGACCTGTCCCTCCAGAGAAGCAAGATCAGTTGATCATGAAGTTTACCAACCAAACGGATCAGTGTTCCTTCCAGTCGGCCGTGGCAAACAACAACATCGTCCTGCTGGCTTTCAGCATCTTGAAGAGGCTGGAGGGGGCAGACCTGCCAGAAGAGACAAAGAGCTCCCTCTGCAAAGCTGCCAATGCCATCCTCAACCTGTGGTTTGTTTATCCTACATCACCGCCTAGTTGACCATGGTCTAGAGGATCACCTGACTTCGCCTCTCGCCATCCATGCCTGAGAAGCTACAGAGGGACCAGCTAGA